CTTCATCCTCAGCAAATAGGTGGCAGGTTGATGTGCAAAAGTATGTTTTGCAGCAACATACTTCCCCTCAACCTGACGGCTATGGAGCTCCTCCATTGTTCACTCCACTTACTGCATTCTTGACAATTTTCACCAGCACATGAACATGTTGTCGCTAAAGGCTTTGCTCCTCCTCGCCTTTCATCTCCTCGTTTCCTTTGTCTATCATCATCATCTGGAGGGACACCTGAAATCCATAATTGGGGCAGAGAACCTGATGCTCCTCCTGGCATTTAGCTTCTATCTCTGCAGCTGCACCACCTAGCAGCTTCTTCACACATTGCAAATACTTCTTGTGAGTAGGCACCTCATTACTTTTTGAATCTGTTGCAGATGGTAGCAACTCCAAGAGAACGGTCTCCTTGTTGCCACCCAAAGCCTTCGCTGCTTCCTTCAGGCCCAGCAGCTCCTTTGACTCTTCTTTTATAGTGGGTCCATCGACCTCCAAACCCAACAGCTTCTGTAACACCAGATTTGCACAAGCGACAATCTCTCAGTTTCCACATCGTTTAGCACCACCTTGGGGTTCCTTTTAACAGCGGCTTCCTTTTCCAGCAATGTCAGTGGCTTCTCATTCACCATATGCCCCCCATAAACTTCACTGTTCAGCTCAACATTAGCCATCAATGACTGCTGCCCTTGGTTTGCACTCTTGTGCATGCCATGCTTCTCATCAGCAGCAACAATCATGTTACTCCCCTTGGAGTCTACAACTCTGTCCTTGTCACCCTTCCCTGGCATTTTCTCAGCAGCTTCAAGAAGAGCAATGCCATGGTGCAACTGCTGCATCAATTCCTCAACTACCGATTTTAGCTCCTTCACGGCCTCCTTCGCACTTGCAGAACACTCCCCCTGGAAGCTGCACTTCGTCACGTTTTCTGATGTCATTTCATTCCAGGACAGCACGGGCACATGCCACATCTCCTCGTGCACATTCTTGCTCTCATGCAAGTACCACAACACTCGGCTATTGAGATGCCATAACCATCATCATTGTTCCTAAACTGCCTCCTCCTGAACTCCTCCTCTAGGATCCAAGCCCGCACCCACTCCAACGTCCAGAGCCCTTCATTTTGCGGTAAGCTCAGACCTGAGGTGAAATGCACCCATGATTCCAGCAGCAAGGACAACATCTTCAAACATTTTGTCTTCTTGGGGTAGGTGATGCATGCGGTAGTTAGCTTAGCGTAGAGTTCTCGCATCTTGTCAAGAGCCGGCTGAATCGGCTCCCCTTCATTCAGGTGCAGTGATGTCAATTCACGCTCTAGCATGAGCGTTGCAGCCACCGAGGTTGGCGCATGCAGCTCCTTCCATACCGCCCAAGCTCATGGCCCGCAATCTGCTTCTTCCAGCAGGTGCATCACGTGTGACCTCTGATTAAGCTCCAAACTCTGTGAGAGGAGATAGTAGCCGGCTGACGCACGCTCGTCCCACTATCCTTTCAAGACGGGTTCGCTCGGTCTCTTCTCCTCACCCATCATTAACTTGAGCAAGCCCACTTGTCGGAAATACAGCCGCATCTTCCACGCCTAATCGTCGTAATCGTTGCCGCTGAACTTCTCCACTGTGAAATTCTTCAGCATGTCCTTGAGAAGTGAGCCTTGGCTGGTCCGCGCTCCCCTTAGCGCCGTGACCACCGTTTCTTGGACTCCACTACTCTGACTGCCCGAAGACCCTTCCATACCACCGGAGACCATGTCGTTCCAATGGCAATTACAATAACCAGAGCTCTGATACCACTTGTTTTAAATATGAACCTAATACCGCTCTAGGAATAGGGACTCAAGCATACAAAGCTTACTCCACGGGGTCACCTCCGAGGGTCCTTGGGTGCCTGGTAAAACCAGACCCTATCCAAGGATCCGTATTTAAAGAGAGTAAGCCAAGTATAGCCTTGGTCAAATTCCACTAGAGCCTTCCTCCAGCATAAATGCAGCGGATATATAACGACTTGTTGCGTGTGCAGCGATTCCCTCACATCAATATGATGATGGGGAATATTTCATCCATAAAACTATATATTACAAATGAAGCACACATGCATATTTAATCTAACAGCCCACAAAAAGCAAAAGCAAGCAACCCACCCATCACTAGCTCGATCCACACTCCAAAAGCTTCAGGTGTTGTGACGCAAGATCGTTGCCACAATAAACAATACTCTCCTATAATTGCACCTGCAAAATCCGCCCTTTTCACCTGCGTATTTCATCTGAAATTTGGCCACCATTCACTACAAATTTCACCTGCGAGATCCCACGCATTTTCACCTGCAAACCCCAAGTGGAAATAGTGTTAAGATTATGTGGACGCGAAATCCACCTGGCGCCACGCACCTCAACCTGAACCCATGCGCAGTTCACCAGAGCATATCCCCCCCACGCATTCCCTGACGATCTCGTCCCGTTTACTCACTTACCCATACCTTATACAAGGCTTAAAATGTATATGGTAATTGCCTAATTGCAAAAAACCATGCACCTTGCTAGACTCTTAAAGGGTTCCATAAAACCTCCCACAAGACTCTTAAACCAACCTCATACTGTAGGTCCTCCATAAAACCTCCATAAGTTCCCTATGGGATTCCCATGTGACTCCCATGCGACTCCCATGCGACTCCCATGGGACTCCCATACGACTCCCATGCGACTCCCACGCGACTCCCATGCGACTCCCATGTGACTCCCATGTGACTCCCATGTGACTCCCATGTGACTTCTGTGTGACTCCTGTGTGACTCCCATGTGACTCCCGTGTGACTCCCGTGTGACTTCCATGGGACTCCCTTGGGACTCCCTTGGGACTTCCATGGGACTTCCATGGGACTTCCATGGGACTTCCATGTGACTTCCATGGGACTTCCATGGGACTCCCATGGGGCTTCCCTCAGCACTTTATCAGCTCGTCCTCACACAACTTAACCCCACAACTTCTAACAACAAACCTCACTTAACCCAAAGTGTGCAACCATAACGCTTGCATCTAAAAGGCCACTTCTTGAGCTAAGTGTGAACTTATTCAAAGAGTGCTATGGATCCCTAAGCTAATTGGGAGAGAGACTAGGCACATCGACATTGATACGATAGCTTAGGCGCTTTAGCAACCTAAGGCGCATCCAACGTGGGCGAACCTGTGGCTGAACACTCGGACATAATGAGCTACCATATACACCCGGATATGCGCCCCCCCGGCGGATAGGATCCAAGGTCCTCAATTCAGCTAATGGGCGTTAAAATGGCAATTTTTGGTATGACAAAATTTTAGGGAGGCATCTTGTCAGGAATCTTCCACATATCAACAACCGTTTTTACCAGCACTCAATAGATGGCACATGGAGGAACACTCTCCTTTTCATAATTGTTGCTTTACATACGTAACACTAGCCCCAGACTTGTTTTCATATTTGATTATTAACCCCTCCCCATGAGATTCCTACTCACCCTACATGCTCCTAGGGTCGCATATCCAGGGGGGATATGGTAAGCTAGTTCAGGATAACCCAATGTTGGCATGATAAGCTTAGGCGAGCTAAGGTATTATGATCTAAGCGGGAGTACTTACGGCATGTAAGGGCTTATTCGTATGAAGTAGGATCTACTCACGGCGATTGGCGCCGCAAAAAAAAAAAAAAAAAAAAAACAAGAGGCGACGAAATCGTCTTAGGGTTGCGGAGCTCTATTGTATAAAAAAGACGAAAAATAAATACTTTTGCTAGTATACTACTCAGAAATAACCCAAACCCGAAGTACACAACATTTAGAAGTGTATGTAAATGAAAAATATTCTGTGTTTTTATATTATTCAAATTATGAACATGTCACGACTGCCAAGCGTGAAAACCGCCACCTAGAGCTGGTTCTTCTATTTCCATGTTTTAGATTCTTATGTTACTTTTCTGTATTGTTTATTATTACGCTACAATTCTTACTTTATCTCGTTTTCGTTTTCGTTTTAGTATCATCTTTCTCAATACTGTGCGATATGATTTCCCTGCCCGGTGGCGAAAGTTGCCACCTGGCAGATTTTGTTTTTTTGCGCCTAGTGGCGAGGCTCGTCACGCGCACAATTTCTGACGGAAATACTGTAGCCGTCCAGTGACGTCAAATTTGTTCTGCCACCCGTTCGGATTTTTTTTCGTCAAAGCGATCCGGCTTTTTCAACGACGCGAATTACGAGGGCGTATTTTAAATTTCGAATTTCATTGATTTTCACCGATTAGTTGGTTATGGAACTGGCAATACGCGAAACAATGAATTTCGAACTCGTAGTTCCGTAGTATTGAATGCAACACGTACAATTAGTCAAATAGATAAAACACGCCCTGACAAGTTCGAAAACTAGTTCACAAATTGCATTCTGGCTGGGCAGTTTCTGATGGAAACGAGAAAATAGATTGAACTTCCTTCAGAGCTGCGAGAGCCTGGCCGTTCCACCCACATTCTCCAACTTTTCTTTCTCCCTCTCACACAATTCTTCCTCCATTCATCAATCTCACAACTTTCTCGTCACCTCCAGCAGTTAGCGTTCTAGCGTTCCAGCCAAGGCCATCCCATAGTTGGGTTAAGTCATCGTTTCTCTCTCAGCTCGTCGTCAACCTCCTAGCTTGATAGTCATGCTAGCTTTTCCCTCCTTTCTTTCCCTAGGCCTCTCTCTTCTTATATTCCTTGCTGCTTTCCTCCAACAAATAAACATCCTCTCACTTTTTCATATCCCTTATGTCTCTAGGTGCTCTAGCTTGTTAAGGAACCACGGGTAATCACCTTTCAACTTTATTTCAAGGTACGGATTCTACCCTCCCGCCATGCCCTTCTCCTCTGCTCTCGTCCATACCTTGACTCAATTCTTCCTTTCTCCCCACCATTACGGGAAATCGTTCCTTACGTCCCCTCTCCTTTGCCCGCCTTTTCACCCTCCTAGTCCGTCGTAACCACTTCTTTGCCCGCCGTCTCCCCCCTCCTTACATGTCGTTTTACCTCTCTCTCTCTCTCTCTCTCTCTCTCTCTCTCTCTCTCTCTCTCTCTCTCTCTCTCTCTCTCTCTCTCTCTCTCTCTCTCTCTCTCTCTCTCTCTCCCCCTCTCTGCCTCTCTCTACCTCTCTTTCAACTTCTCTCTCTTCGTCTCTTTCCTTTCACCATCACATTTTGTGTTAACTTCCCATGCCTATTCGTTCTCGGCCTAGCTGCTTGTTGTTCACTCCTTTCATACGCAATGCCTAATATAATATCCACTTTAATTGTATGCAGGTTTTCTTGTAAACGCGTTTATGAGTTCCCTACGGCGTTTTGCTGTAATTCGTTGGGATGTTCAATTATCTCATTTTCAGCTTTATATTCATATAATTGCTGGCGTCCTGTGTTTGGTCTGATGTGTCTTGCTGCTGTTATTTGCTCTCATTCTAGATCCACAGCAATGCATGTCTGTATTTCGAAAAAAGAAAGCATGCTTATCAAATCACAAACGGTTCACAGGCGAGCTCCTTGAGTTTCTGTCTCGAACTGGATTTGATAGGTTTTGGTTCTTTTTTTGGACATTACAGATTGCGTTGCTCCATCATTCAGACACTAGGCTTGCTGACTTCCCCCCCATGCTAGCGCTGGGGAAGCGGTAGCTTAGAGTTTGAGTTTTTCACTGTCACATAATCAAAAAAAAAAAAAAAAATCATGTCATGAATGATGACATGAATTTTCTTGCACGACTCGATTGGATCCGTACACAACGATGTGATGCAATCAGACAAGAGGCCTGCAAAAATTTCACAGTAGATCAGAAATCAACCAAATATGGTGCAAATATTATTTCAAAATAGATGCATTTGATTCCTATCATAGAATAAACACATTGTGAAAGCTTGCTTGGGTCACCTTGGCAAAGGCAGCGTGCTTCATTTCATATGGGCTACAGTACATGGTTCTCGTCCAATAGACTACACCGTCCAATAGGGTGGGTGGGTGGGGAAAACGAAACTGGAACTAGAAATGAAGAACGTGGGTGAGGTCGAATGGCCTCACGTCCCTCTTTTGTAGGCAAAAGAGGGTGAGTAGCGCTTCGACGCTGACCTTGTTGCGTTGGCCCTCGCTACACTTTCACAATACACATTTTTTAGAAAGTGTTACACGCTTTCAAAAAATTACATCTCTAGCATTTTGTTACATTCATAGGAAGAGAACAAAAGCTGCAGGTCATATTTTACTGTGCAAAGGTTTTCCATCCAAACTTTTGAGTGAAAAAAAAAAAATCGGCAAAATCGATCGTAATAGGTTGCTCCGCAACCCAAAAAAAAAAAAACCCTGCTTGTATAGATGTGAGCAACGACGACGAGTAGCTGATCACTTGGTCAACAACAGCGTGACAAAACGTCGAGGCATATGTTACAAACGTAGGAAGGTGTCATCCAACCCACGAACAATGTTTGGGTTCGATATATCATAGGACTCGATACGTGCCAGCATGTCGGACTACTCGCCATTGGTTGCAACGGTCGCTCATCATATTTTTGGGACTTTTGAATGTTGATTAGATCCATATGTTATTTAACTGCAGGATATACACGGGATCAGCCTCGGTTAGATCCCACTTTGGTGTAGATCCTACTTCGTAAGAACACGTCCTAAGCGTGCTAAGCGGTGAATGTGGTAATACTTTATAATGTGTTTTATCGAACCAAGCATTCGATTATCCATGATTTTGGAATTGTCACATAAACTAACGCACGCGATCAAACTTTGGGCACTTTGAAGAAAGTGACCAAAACCAGTGCTGGGGTGCATAGAAGTTTGAAAGTGACCAAAACCAGTGCATAGAAGGGTTGAGGGCGCTTCCCCAGGTTCTCTACATTTTTCCGCTCCAACATTACTACAGCGGCTCTACGGAGAACCGGTACAATACCGCCCTCAAAATGTGATATGTAGGGTTTATGAGACAACCGAAAGACTCACAAGGGTTGCTTTTACTTGACCAGGTTTTACAACCAACCACATTCGCCAAAAACCAGCCATGACAGTCAGATAACTGGGACTGCGTGTGAACACACAACAAAATGCAACCGTAAAAGAGTCCAGAACCGCTAGCGGCAATGCCCTCATAAACCGGAAGTGTTATGACAATTCAAGCGAGGGGTGCACCATTGCAACAATGTTGGACCCTCATCTCAATCTTGCCTACTTGGGGATCAACTAAATGCAGATGACAATAAGATGTGATGGCTTTTGAGGCTTATGCTCCCCAATTATCTGAGAATGTGGGCGAAGGACATGGGTCGGTGCCGACTCAAGCTTCGCAAAAGCGATTTAATGATACGAATCACTCATTCTCGGGCCAAACCCTTTCAAGGAGTGGGCCTATGGAAAAACTTACAAAGCACTTTGAGGATGAGCAAGTCATGTTGGAGGACTACGAAACATTATGGATTGGTGGAAAGTCAACCAAGGCCGCTTTCTGATAGTTGGCACCGACCAATACCGGGAAGAGTGACAGAAAGGCCCTTCTCCAAAGCACAACATATGTTCACCGATTTTCGCCACTCACACCATGCCGAGAGTGTGCGTGCTAGCATGTACTTGCATTCTTGGAATAAGTGGTCTAGTTAGTCTTGCAAGATGGCAGAAAATTACTACCATTGTATCTGTTTAGCAATCAAATTGTTGGCATTCTGCTCAATGCCTTAGTTTGAGGCATAGGCTTAGACATCTACGGCACGCGTACACATGTGTTTAACATTTGGCAACACGAATAACGCAAACTGCACTTAATCATGGAACAAAAACCTACCATTGAAGATTTGGAAATTAACTTGGACTTGGCTCAGAATTGACTCAATCTCGAATATAAAGATTCGACAAACCGGTATTGACTAAAATATTTGAGAAAAACACGACAACCAGTCTTGGACTCGAACTCAAGACTTGATGAACAGGCTTACCCCTAGGTTCCACACCCTTATAAGCCCAAAATAAGTTGAGCTCTCGTGGCCTATCTTTTATCTAACCCCCTTGACTCATGTTGGTGTTTGTGCAGTTGCTTCCCTGTTTGCCTCCCCCTATCCCATCCTTCCCTACCGCTGCTCGTTCCTCTAGTGCCCGCTCCAAATGTGGCTGCTCCATCAGTGGCTGGGACCATGCCAAGGAGATCATGCCAATACGTGACTCCTCATGCCCGAGTGATCTCAGCAGCTGATCCTTTGTGAGTGTCGACCGCATGTTATTCAGCACTACATGGGCAATAATTTGAGAGCAAATATCATCCACTCATCCTCTTCTTCTTTTCCCTGAAGCTGCAAGGTACTTTGATCTTAGGCCCTCAGCACTAGCCCAATAGGCAGTTATGCATTCACCCTCCTTCATTCGCAACAAAGAGAGCTCCTTGTAGAGAGCTATGCGCCTGCAGAAACCCCACAGCACATAGAATTCATGTACCCGCTTGTAGGATTCCATTGTGTGTGCAGGTACACGAGTGATACTCCTCGAGTCTCCTGTGATGACAACCTCAGATTTTCCATCAAAACCCCACGCGAGGCGAATAAGCTCGTCTGGCACTAGCGCATGGAAGAATTGTACAAGTGCCTTCAGATTCCTCCGATCCCACTCCGTTTGGGCATCACCCAGCTGTAACGACCTCTAATCCGACCCATAATAGAAACCATCCAAGTCATGTGCATTGACCACTGCTCATATCGAAATCTCCAGATCAAGTAGTCCATCCCATCCAATTTTGGCAGATGATCGAACTTCTCGTCATGAGTATCTTGCATCATTATGATACTTAGGTGGTGGCGGCGGCAGCAATGGCAACAGTAATGGTGGTATCGGCGACGACAGAGGTGGCGCCCACGGCATTGGTGTCAATGTTGGTGACGGCGGCGGCAGCGGCGACGGTGTTGGACCAAGTCGTTCTCTGTTTTTTTGCCCTAAATCCCCCGTTACGCATAAAATTATTTCCAGTAGGTTTTCTGACGTGAAACTCCACTCGTTGCTCTGTTCAACGAATAGTTTGCGTAAAAAGAAAAGTAGACTTAATCAAGAATGCTAACTTCAGGGAATAGAGAACTAGACTCCAGTTAGATGAATCCAAGGTCCGACATGCTGATGTTTCATTCATGCTCTTATTAAATCAAGGTTAATGGCAACTTGTGTTTGATACCTCCCTCCCACCTGTTGTGTTTCAAGGCATGCAGTGTGGAGTGGAATATTCTTGCTGCGTGTGTCGTTATGCTCTCGTATCAGTAGCACTGGGATTGGTCCGGAGAGGAGACTTAGAAGGGCTGCGTGAAATGTGGTTTGGTGGATTGTGCAAATTGGGGAGAACTCGAGGATAGTATAATGCCATAATCGAATGGCGATGGAAGAATGGCGTGTCCCCTCTTCTTATTATGGGCAGAAGAATGAACCATGTAGGATGGCACGCTTGGCGGCTCATACATTGGCAGCTCCCTTTTGGTGGATACGTGCTCTATGGTTGACGAGGAAAGATGAGGTGTGGGATTTAAAGTTTATCTGTCAGAACTGTTTTGTTCTATTTGTTAAAACATCCGTTGTAGTCTAGTCGGTTAGGATATTCGGCTCTCACCCGAAAGACCCGGGTTCAAGTCCCGGCAACGGAATCCTCGCTTTTGGCTTGGCCTTGGTTCCCTCCTATTGTTCCCAATGTGGGCCACAGACTTTACTCACTTCGCGGTTCGTGGGCCTTCACCTCTAGCAACGCCACAAGGCCTTCGTAGCAGCCCACGTCGCATTATTCTTACATCTAACATTGTACGGGCTTCAGAGTCGCGCGTTGCATGGCATCATGGCGACGACGGAATTCTCGAATCAGCTTGGCATTCTTCACTCATTGCCCTCCTCCTCACTTGCAGAGAGAGACCTGCGTCTTGGCAGCCCCCTATGCCCCCCTTAACCCCCTGCGACCCCTGCGGCATGGCCTCCTTGTGCGCGGTTCCTAACTCCACATGCCACGCCCGATTCTATCCTCCTGATCCATCCGGTAGAATCACGCAATCGTGCGTTTCCTGTACACCTGTCACTTTGCCTCATCATTCGCATGTGTTTCCCCTCCTTCCTCGCTAACTTGCATGTCCTCGCTATCTTGATTCCTCCACGCCTCAACCATCTCTTTCTCGCGACCTCTGTACAGCGATCCGAGCGTGTTGTTGGTGCATTTTGAAAAGTCTCCAAATGCTCCCCACTTCACCGTCTTTCCTCTTACGACCGCTCCGCAGCGAGGCTC